CCTCCTCTCCCGCCTCTCCTTCCCTCGTCTCTCGTCTTTTTTCATTTCTTTGTACAATTCCAATCGAACCAAAACACAGAAAAAAAGGAACAACAACAGACAAGAAAGTGAAAAAACGAACGTAAGACCGAATAATTTGCCCGGCCAGTGGGTGGGCCAATGCGTAGTTTTCACTCCGATGACCAGAGGTCCCCGAAGTCTGACGCTCGCTTTTTCGTCAGCTTTTGCACAGTTGTAGGTGTTGAGGTACCGAAGCTGATGGTACCTCAGACTGTTTATCGTTTATTAGATATTCGAGATTAAAGTTTATCTTATGAATTTCAACTATAGAACGCTAGTTATGATTGTAGATGTCCGCTTGGGAGTACAAACCTGGACAAGAAGTTGATTTGTAAGACGATACGTAAGACAATCCCTAAATAATGGCTATGGTACAATGAAATTACGTTATTTTTTAAACACGGTATATTTAACCTATTACTTGCTCGTACATAACTTTCAGTCATCGTGTATAAGTAACCTTTTGCAAAAATTTTGTTATTATTTTATCTCATCGAACCTTATCAGAATTTCCAGATTAATTGGTATTATGGATTTTGCAATAATAAATCAAAGATAGTGTAAATATTGGATTTAAGTTATAATAGTGGAATCGATAATGGTGATAATATACCAAAGATATCTTTGATTATCTTTGTAGAGAAAAAATCCTAGTTTAGCAAAAATAATCACTTGAAAAATGTGATACTTTTGTAAAGTAATAAGTTAACTATTGAAACAAATAGTTATCGATGCTAACCATTGTTCTAGAATGGACATATTATACACTCATTATTTTTAGTTATTTTAAATATACATATAGAAATAGTTTAAAATTAAAAATTGTTTCATTTGTAATTAAATAACTTGAAATATTCTTTCTATAGAACGAATGTATCGTTGTCAGTTCCAATATAGGAATTGCACAAAGCAAGATGCAAATTATCATAAAAATGTTTAAAGCATAATAGCTACCACGAGAAGTTGAAACGAAAAAATACTCCAATTCAGCAGCTACACAGTGTTTCGAACAACTATTTTTTTTAAATTTAGATGAAAATATCTTACAAAAATAAACGTCAGAATAACTTTAATATCTCGTAAAGAATAATCTGTCTGCCCCCCAAAACCGGGTACCATTGGTTTGGGCACCTCAACACCTACAACCTTACAAATCTGATAAAAAAAATGTGCGCGTCACGCTTTGGGACCTTTCCTTGTGAGTCGTATTTGGGCGTTTGACGTCACGATAGGGACATTATCAGAGAAAATCGGGAACCGAAATTTCGTCGCCACGGGACAGGAGAAAGTCATCGAACCTGTACATTATGCTCGAGAACAATCGACGATTCCTAAATCGATGCGGGACACTGGTAATTTTCCAGGTTACCAAGAAACGGAATAAACACAAAATCTTTAAAAAAGAAGTTTCATCCATTTCATATTTTGTCAGGACAGAAAGAACACTAAATTCTCTACGTTGCACTAGCATTCCATAAACATTCTAATTTTCTATTGTTCGATCGTTGATTTTTATATTGATAATCGTTGATTTACCAACACCATACTCTTCTGCTAACTTTATTGCACACTCACCATTTTTTAGCTTTTTAATAATTTCACTGTAAATACAATTACGATAATAAAATATTATTGTGAATATAATTGCAATATAAAATGTTACGATTGTGAGAATTTTGACAGTAAAAAGTAAATACTAGATAGATTAAAGTGTAATAATTTATAAATAAATGTAAATGATGTTTTAACGTTAAACCTACTATGACCGATCAAATGACCATTTTTTAAATATAATGTTATTTCAGTGCCATTTAATTTCACGACTTGTCTTATAGTATAGGTACAATAACTTTTTCAATATTTGCTTCTTTTGTTATTGTTTGTTTCCAGAGAAAAATATGTAGTCCATTTTGTGTAATTTGTGGCAAATATAATGTTATTTCAGTGCCATTTAACTTCACGACTTGTCTTATAGTATAGGTACAATAACTTTTTCAATATTTGCTTCTTTTGTTATTGTTTGTTTCCAGAGAAAAATATGTAGTCCATTTTGTGTAATTTGTGGCAAATCGACAAGGAATAAAATGTTCATTATTTATTTCAAAATAAAAAAAACTATATTTTTTTCACTATCAAATTGACTATTATTTGCATTCTATATTATGAAATAATATATGTTTATGTTATTTTAAAGACCGGTGATTGTAGGAATGGGTTAGGTCTGGGTTAGTATCCATACACCGAAATACGTTCAGTTTAAACAATAATAACTAGACTGCGGATCTTTATGCAAATTCATATTTTTATTAATAGAATTAATAGAATGGGAGCTTTGTAGATGATTGTCTCAACCCTTAAATATAATAATTCATATCTTAGTATTTCTTATAATTTTGCATATTAAATGCATTCTGTAGTTTCTTGAGGATTAAAATTTCCCATAAATGCATAAACATCCGCAGTCTAATAATAACCTTGATTAAAAAAGGCTACTTAGCTATGAAATACACATATGTAGTTAGGAATTCAGCTTTCAAATAGTATGAATTTTAAAAATACAACAGATAAATCTCAAATGCCAAATGAAGTAAGAAAATCAGCGGGAAAAAAGTATTCGTACGTGACATCTATTGACAATCATCTGATCTTACCCTAAATACCGTCCGCCAAACAAAGAATCCGAAATTCTACGGGTCGTGAGCCACCGTGTGAGAAATTTGGGTCCCCGAACCGTGTCGGAGGTGTCGCGTGGGTCATCGATGAGAACCCTAAGCCCGAGGTCTCGCGATCGAAGCTAAAATTTCCACCGTGTGGCAAAGGACGAGCGGTCACGAGAGCCGGGCGGAGAGATCGGGCCACGAAAGCAGATTAATCCGCCGCTCCAGATTGATAGGACGCGCCGCCTCCTTGTTCCACCGGGTCTTCCGAGGCAGTTCCGCTCTATTCCTCATCCCCGGCCCAGGAACGGGGGACCCCGACAAGGACGACGGATGAGTGTTACGAGTGCAAACAACAGTTTGATGGCGAGGCAAGGCCCCGCGGGGTTATTTATTTTGGTACGTCTAGACGCCAGATTGTCTGTCCGTACGTCCGAATCGCGACGGAGTATTCGGAGGTGACGTCAGACAGTGTTGCATCGCCGAGACTTACCTCTCGCTGGGTCGAATCACGTCCTCTCTTTTCAATCGTTCCTTCACCGTCTTCGCTGTCCGTCACACATTCTTTTGTTGCCCCTTTTTTGTTTTATATGCAATTTAAATGCGTGCACGTGTCTGCGTGACACAGGCACGACCACGGACGGGGTCCCGCGCTGGGAACGCAACGTGTGGGTTAGATCGCGCGCAGCGAGTCCCCACGGTGTCAGGGCACCGGCGATGCACGCGCGCAATCCAAACGCGTCGGGTACGCACGATTTGCAGCGATCTCGGGGGTGGAATCAAGTGGGCCCCTCTTGTTCCTCATCGATTTGTTTACCGCGCCACGATTCCCGCCCACTCTGACCCTGGTGCACGGTCGCGCAGTGGGATAGAATCGACGAAGGTCGGGAGGAAAGTCAAAATTTACGAAAGCAGTGCCAATTTTTTTTTTTTGTTCATTCGTCGAAATTTAGCAAAATTGCATGTTTATTTATTCATTTTACGAGCAGAAAAGTCATTTTGTATACGAAGAATGAGGTAAAGAGAAAACAGACATACGGTATACAGGTTGTTCTAGGGTTTACTGGCTAGACTTTATCAGTATATTCTATGGACGTAGCTATTATAGGAAGGCTGATTTGTTAATAACTAGACTGCGGATCTTCATGCAAATTCATATTTTTGTTAATAAAATTATTGAAATTGGAGCTTTGTAAAGGGTTGTCTCAACCCCTAGATATAATAATTCGTACCTTACTTTAAGTATTTCTTATATTCTTGCGTGTTAAGTGCATTCTGTAGTTTTTTGAGAATTAAAATTTCCCATAAATGCATAAACATCCGCAGTCTATTAATAACATTACGCCTTTTCACACGTTCATTTTCAATTGCTTCTTTTTGCATCTTTTTAGTGCATTCAACATCCTTATGCATTTTTTCTTTCTCGGGTTTAAACTTCGTTTTGAACGTTTTCTACCGTTGTCTGCATTATTTTGTGAATTTTTTTCATTTCATTTCTTACATTTTTTGTTGTTAAAAGTATCTTTTAATGTTTTAATAGATTGATATTATCAAAAATAATGTTATATATGTTTTAAATGTAACCATTCTCTTATATTTGCATTATAGTGCTACCTTTTTCTTACTTTTATTGATACTTTTCACCTTACATTACTATCATAGAGAGTATACAGGGTGTTCTGCGTTTTTCCGTACACATTTCAGCAGTCTGTTCTGCAAATAAAACTTTTTCTTGTCAGTATGTATTTGATATGTATTTGGTTACATATAAGATACATGTATTATGTTACATAATCAACAATAAATTAAACATACATTGCGTAAAGTAAGATTCCGGAATTTCTCAATTTCAAATCCCACAGTGCATGTATTGGAGCAAATTTTTGTGTGTAAGTAGGCAACATTGTATTCAGTTGTTATGCTAAATTTCATCGCAATATGACAACCAGTGTGATCATGGCAGTTATTTACACCAGTCGATCTCGAGTGTGCTCTGCGATTTTTGCGATGGAAAGAACTGTCAAGCAAAGAATTTGCCTTAAATTTTGCGTTTCTAACGAAATTTCTAGTGTCGAAGGGTTAAAAATGTTACAGAAAGCCTATGGTAAGTAGAAGTGCAAGATTTGCCGTGTGCAGGCCGACAGTCAATGGTTTCGACTGACGAAAACATCGAAAAGATAAAAAAAATGGTCATCGATAATCGTCGCCTGAGTATTAGAGGTGGTTCATGAAGTGGAAATGTCTCACATGTCCGTGCATAACATTTAAACTGAAGTTTTGGGCATGAGACGCGTCGCTGCACGACTTGTTCCGAAGGAGCTGAATTTTCTGCAAAAAGAACATCAAGAAGCAGTTGCTGAAGACACGATTTCACGAGCTTCTAGTGACTTTACCTTCATGAAACGCATCATAACCGGTAACGAAACATGGGTTTATGAGTACGATATGCAAACAAGTCAACAATCTTCGGAACATCGCTTAGAAAATGAACGAAACCCTAAAAAACCGCGTCAAAGTCGCTCGAAAATTCAGGCCATGCTCACTGTTTTCTTTGATTATCGTGGTGTTGTTCATTTGGAATTCCTTCCAGATGGACAAACAGTAAATAAAGAATATTATTTGAGCGTCATGAGACGCTTGCGTGAAAATATTCGTTGGAAACGGCCAGATTTGTGGAAAAACAATTCTTGGATCCTGCACCACGATAATGCTCCGTAGCACACGTCGATCTTGGTACGCGAATTTTTGGACAAGAACTCAACAAATGTGATCCAACAAGCACCGTATTCACCAGATATGGCCCCCTGTGACTTTTTCTTATTTCCGAAACTCAAATTACCCCTTCGAGGAACGCGTTTTTAGTCGATAGAGGCCACAAAAGAAAATTCACAGAAGGAGCTGAAGGCGCTACCTTCTTCAGCGTTTAAAAAGTGTTTTGAAGATTGGGAGAAGCGATGGCGTATGTGCATTGCTTCTGATGGAGCCTAAATTTGGATGATTAAGTAAGCAATTTGAGTTTCATGCCTATTATGTAATCGATTATAAAAAATAATTCTGTACATAAGAAATCTCTACTTCGAAATAGGTCAAATTTTCGGGACGCCGCCAGTTAAAGATTTAAAGAAATCCATGCAAACCTTGTTTCACAGTCACGAAGTTTTTTAATAAATAATATTAAGTAAACCTGCAAAATTGACGACAGTAATAAATAGAGAACTTTGCAAGTACAATAACGTAAAAATGAAATAAAAAAAATCATAAATTTCTTATTAGTTCTCACTGAACATCGCATAAACGCCTTTTACTTTGACTAAGCTTAACATAGATGTCTTATGTTTGATAACGTCTAACATCTAACAAGAGCTGTGTTTACAAACACAATTCACTTTCGTAAACAAAATTAATCTACAAATTATCTTGACAATCACGTTGCCTGAGAATAACAAAATTTTCCAATAACAAAATATTATAATAATATCTCAGTAACCATTAATTTTAAGTTACACATAGTATAAACCTTTTTACGTAGAATTTGATGTGCCATCGAAATGTGAAAAGAAATATTAAGAACTCTTTCTAAAAAAAGTGAAACTGACCTTCGTGTCTCGATAAAAAAGCAGAATAATAAAATATTGATTACTGACCTCTAAGCGCCCCTAAGCAAACATTTTTTCGTACAGCAAATACTTCAGAAATTATTTGATGCCAAGTTACGAGATTCGTCCTGTACGTAATAATACGTACGTAAAAATGTTTCTTTTTTACAGCGTTTTCAGGGTAAACGGCCCACTGTGCGTCGAGTAGACGTGACACATTGTCGCTCGCCACGAATGATTTATTTTCGAACATAAACGCATCGAACGACGAACGCGCGTCCTCCGTTAGACCGCGTAGAAAAGTTCAGAGAACCGAATCCTTTAACCCAATTTCCAGATTCGACGCGCGCCGCCATAATTTGCGTCGACACCGGGCCGATATTACGTCGCCGCGTATAGACGCACTAAACCTCCGTCCGGCATATTTTCCATCTCGGTCGGCGGTTACATTAACGTGGATCGCGCTCGATCGCGACCGACTCTTCAAACTGGACGGACAGAAATCGTCTCATTGAACATAAAAAAAGCAGAAAAAAAATAAAGTCCACGGGACGTACGGTCGCAAAATTTTCCGATTTGTTCTCGGTCGTGCATATTTTTCTCAAGAGCCGCGTCGCCCCGCTCTTTCTCGCCGTCGGTGTTTCTCTCCCTCTCCTTTTTCCCCCTTGCCGCGTTCCCGTTCTTCTTTTTGGGCCCCGTCGTCGACGCGCGTTGTCACGCATCGTATTTTCACGCACGCACGCGGAGGCTGCATTTATTAAAAGCGATACATTATGATTCAAAGATCATATCTTTCGATTCGTCTAGACTGCGGAGAGGGAGACACTCTATAAAGTCGTATGTGGCTGCCCCTGAAACCAGCAGCCGAATACAAGGTGCCAGCTCGCTCATTTCTCGTGGCCACAGTTTTCATTTCCTCCTTTGTTCAGCGCGGTCCCGCGGAGCCCGGCCGTGGTATCCCGGTCAGGCACGTTCCTCGACGAACGACAGACGAACTTTCCTCCGGACGAAAGTATCTCGCGGAGGCCCGAAAAATCAGCTCGTCGAGGATGTCGTCGCGGCACGCGGCGAACTCGCTTCCGACGACCGTGGTACGCTCGTGAGCCACGCTCGCGTACTGTGCTCGGTAGTCTTTCGCAGCCGGCGGACGGTGAAAGGACATTTGAGTCTTCTCATTTGTGAAAGGATCACCGCGATAAGGATCAGTATGCAGTCTGTCACGCGGTAGATAGGGATCATTCGAAGGCTAGGCGTCGCGAAGGAGCGCCGTGTCTCGGTCTCTCCACCGGGTTCTCGCCGAAGGGATCGCGCAGCGCGCGTTCGTTCGAAACCACGGGACAGGGTAGAAAAAATCACCGCGAAAGGGAATGTAAGAGATGGATAAGTAAATTCCGCGGTCGGTGAGTAATCGAAGGAATCGCCGACGTCCGCGGCGAGACGAGTCCGGGTGTAGGGACCGGTGTAAGACAGGCGAAACGGTGCGCACGCGGTGCTGCGTTCGCCGGAAGCACGAGCGAGGCTGCGTGGCGAAGAAGCACGCGGCGGTGACGGCGGCGGTGGCGGCGGCGTTCGAGAACCGGCGGCAGATCGACGTACGATATTGCGGCGCGAAAAAGCGACCAGACGAAGAAGTTGGCGAACGATAAAGCGTCGCGGAGAGAGAGAGAAAAGGCAGTCGTCCGCGGGATTTCGGCGAGCGAGGGAAAGGGATTACACGCGCGGCGGGTGGAGCGAGCGGAGCGGACACACCGAGAGTAAGAGAAAGGAGAAGAAGGAGAAGGACGGGGAAAAAAAAGGAGTGATCGTAGTAACACCGGCGCGTCTCCTCTCGCGGCTTCGTGGTTGTCTCGGAATTAGTGAGTAGACAGAATTATGTCTGTGAGCAGGCCAGCTCGGCTCAGTTGAGACTTACTGCTCAGCCCGTGCACACGCGTGCCACGAATCTTTCCTACATACATATAACGCGCTTTCCCGATGCGATTAGATTAGTCCGCGACCGCCGCCGGATCACGGTCCAGTTTCTTTCACACTTGTTCACACGTCGAGGATAGGCCTTGTCTTCCGTAAACGTCGCCAGTTCCGTTCCGTGTCCACCGCTGGAGGATACGAGCACGCGATTCACACCCTGACGTACTCTCGTCGAGTTGTTGGTACACGATCGCGTTGGGTCCGATTTATTCCCTTGATGGAAATAATGGAGAACACGGTTCATCGATAACAGTGCCTATCGAACAATTGGTACCGTTCTCCTATTCCCGACGAGTCTTTGCGGAACCAACGTATCGAGATAGTGCGGCTTTCGTAGATAGAATCGAACCGAGTCTGTAACGAGAACTCTCCGTTGCCGAGTCACGATGGGACTCGCCAGGTTATTCGTGCTGCTCTTGGCAACCTCAGCTATAAACAGTGTTTGGTGTCATCATCACCATCACGGTGTCCACCCGGACAGCAAGAGGAAGAGGGATCAAGTGGAGCATGTTAGAAGGTACGGGTCCAGGGAGGAAGCGAACGCGGTCTCGTCGATAGAAGATAAGAACAGAAGGAGTTTGAACATTGACGAAGTCAAGGAGAAGGTTCCCTACAGTGACAGGAGGCTGGAAAAAATGTTGGAGAAGGCTATATTGAAAATAATCACCGGCGACCTTAGCACGGGTGACATGCTGCTGTTGAAGAGCCTGAATTACAGCCTGGAGGAGGTTTTGGCGATTCGCGAGAGAGAGCTCAGCAAGAAGAAAGAGGAGTTGTCGAAGAAGAAGGAAAGTATGAAATCGTGGACGAAGACGCTCTATGGACAAGTCGGGGATAAGAAGACTAGATACTGGGACAAGAATTATATGGATTATTCCTCTCCGAAGAATCTCGATTACGAGGATACGAGGAGCGAAGGTAAAAAGAACCGTCACACGGACAGGTCTTCCTACAAGGACTTCGACTTCGACGCTTACAATCGACAGGCGGTCCTCGATTACGAGAACCTACCCTCGAGTTTAGAATTCCAGCAACCATGGTCGAAATCCGAGGTCGTGAACTTGGAGGAAACTACCGAAGCACCGAGCGTGGACGATCATATTCATCGGGAGTTCGAAAAGGCGATGGCGCCTCACGTGATCTTCAAGATACGTTACGACGATTCCGAATTCGATTCTAGTTCCGGTTCCGACGAGACCAGCAAGAATCGATCGAAAATGTCCAAGTATCGTGCCTCGACGACCTTGAAGCAAACGGTATCGAGAAACGCTGGTAACTCCTTTCATGTTCTACCACCGCCAACATTGTCCACTGCTTTTCCTGCTTCTGTGCCACTACCTATGGTCTCTCAGCTAAGCAACACGAACAACGTACAGACTAGCTACCCGAGAAGCCACATCTACTCCAGCATCGCGGCATCTTCGACAACGAGTACCATCGACACGATGGAAAACTCAAAATCCGATGAGGTCTCGAACACCGAGGAAAATCCGAACGATAACGTCGGCGGTTCAAACGACAAGAACATCATCCCCGAAATCAAGGAAACGCCCAGTGAAAATAAGAAGATCAGTCCGTACGAAGGGCTGGAGTGGGTCGAGGACGACGTCTACAGGGTAATCCCTGAATTAGTTGATTCCCTTAGCTACGATAATTCGGAAGACAACGAAACGTCGGACTATGAAGACTCCAGACACAATTCTCCACAAAATTGGACCATGGAAGAGAACGAAAACGACACGCTGGAGTACCAAAACGAAACGCCTGACCCTGTCAAGCTCTTCATGCCCAACAGTAACGCGACCACGAGTGATCTTCCAGCGGCGAATCTATCCACCTATCAGCAAGTGGTCATAGCTCATCGAAGAGAGTAAGTAAACTCACTGATGCACATGATCATTCGATCACCTGTTCCCGAGTCTCTGGTTAAAGTTCTGGCTCGAAATCGGTTGGCCTCTCGTTGGTATCGTTCGACAGATTGTGTGGAAGTAAACTTTAATTTAGGCCTCGTAGTTTGAGTAGAACTTTAACAGAGACTCGGGCGGTACATTTTTCTTCACGCACAACGAAACCATTGTCACGTAAAATTGTCGTTCACCATGTGTCTCGCTTTGCAATAGAGCGGTACGCTAGATCAGTCTCTATAAAATGTGCTTTTTGTGTCTTTTAGAGGAAACCTAACCTCAGCCTTCGACAGGTAAGCCTCCCCGATGGCACTATGATCGCTTTGGGTAAGGGACACGGTGTGCCGATAAAAGAGACTTAGTAGAATTTGACAAATTTTTGTTTTTTACCCGCCAATACAGCCGGCTGCTTTCTTTCTGGCTTGGCTTGCATAATCTAAAAATACATTCTCATCGCAGTTATCTCATTGGTCGTGTTGCATGCGACCGCGGATTTATCGTGATAACAATGAAACCTTTTCTCTTACGTGGTGTGTTGTGTCTGCACGAAAAGGTAACATCGTTCTTCTTCCTCCTTCTTTCTGCTCTCCCCTTTCGTTATCGTGACGAGAAAAAGGCGAACGGTTTTCCAGGCATGGTAACCCACGACACGCGGTCGTGCACACGAACACTGACGACACGGACGTTCCCGACGAATCGTTGCCCCCGCTACGTAAAAATATCTCGATGGCCTGTAAAAATATCGTGACGAAACGAAGACCGTGAAGCGCCACTGAAATTCCGCGCCTCGTGTTGACCAACGTCAGCATCTGAAAGCAGTCATCCTCGCTTCGACGTCGCGAATCTTTTAGGAAGACCTTTCTACTTCGATCGTTTCTTTTTTTTTTCTTTCGAATCGAGAAACCTCGAAAGTTGTACCCGATTCGAAGACGAGACGAGCCACGGAATCGGTAAATTGCCACCGATACGCATTAAACGAAGCGAACCGCGGGATACGGACGTCAAGACGGGCCCGGTTGGACGCGATCTACGTGAAAATCGAAGATCCGCGACGGTGATCTAAATTCACAGCGACAAAGGAAAGCGATTTAAAGGAACACAGGATGTACGATCTTTTCGAAAGACATGCACGAGGACAGTGTAGCCAGGAAGGACGCACGGTGGAAATTCCGCCGTGGTCCCTAGCTATGTTTTTAAATCGCCCTCCTTCTCCTCCACCTCGGCCCCTCTTCGCGCGGGTGCGAAGGCGTTTCTTTTATTTTATTAAGTCTAGACGCGTAAATGCATTCGTGTCGGCACTGGCGTAGCCTGCCGGAGTCCTCCTCCGGTGTGCTCGCCGTTCCATCAGTTTCTCAACCGTGTATACATGGGGATTTAGACGATCTGCTACACGACGGATAGCAGCGAACCAGTTTTTCGATCCCGTCGACTTTTCCAGTCGCTCGCGTTACCCTTTGTCGCTCGACTTCGAGGAATAATGATGTAACTTCGTAAGAGGTACACGTGTCGCTGAACGACCATGATGTCTATTAAGCTTGCATCAAAGGATGCAGAGGGCTTCGTGATTACAGGAAGAGGACGGGAAAAGTGGTTCCAAGATCTCAGTCGATTCACGCGGCGAACGTCGATCGACCGAGTGCTGTTCGATCGCGGCGAAACGACGGTTCGAGTTGAGCACCCTCGTAATCACCGGGTGTCTAGTCAGACTGCAGTTAGGACTGCTCTCTTACGAGGTTATGTAACACATTTCAATTTAATGCGCTGACCTTGTCTATGCGTCTCTCTTCCTATGCCGACGGAGACGATGTGACTGACGCGCGCGACGAAGAGAGAGGAGGAAGTTTTCGCCAGTGGCTCCCCACCTCACCGCCAGACGATGCAACGTGCATTTTTTGGCGGCCGCCAATCAGACCGCTTCGCCGTTTCGCGGTAACCACCGATCGCGGTATGCGAAACTTTTTACTGGTTCCCGACCTCCACGTGCTACAATTCCCGCCGCGGGTATTTTCGATCCTTATCAACGGCCAAACTTCGACGATCGCTTCCTGACCATCGATAAACGTAATCGCGAAACGTAAAATTACTCGACTCCTTTTTAATCGAATAACTCTTTGCTCGGGCAAATTGTCTCGAGAGAATAAAAAATTATTTAAAATCGATGTTGTTAAACAACGTTAAATTTTGACGAATTGTACGCGCACCAGCGTTGCTGCAAGTTCATCCGAAGCCTGTTACAAAACCGGCGGTAACGCAGCCAATTTTCTTAATACGGTACTCAGGAAGGATCACTGGATTCATTCTCATGATGCAACGGCCTCCAGACACCCGAGTCCTTCCCTTTCCCAGACGGCAGACAGACGTGACACGTACGCAACGAGACGGTGTAGAATGCGTGACTTGGACGCAGCTAGATTAACGAGCATGTCTAGAATCGAATACAAGCGGTTGAGATTTCGTGGCGATATTTCGTCAGTGGAGTCCAAGTCTCCTCTCGCTCTGTTGCTTCTGACCGGGTTCCTGAAAAAGAAAAAAAACACAATGAGACAAGATAGAAACCGATAGAGTCGCCGAAATTCTTCCACGTTCTCCTCGACGTCCGCCTCTGGAAGCCTCCTTCCTAGACATTCTGATCGTCCGTAGATTTCGTTGCTTAGAAAAAGAACTCCTGGTTGTTTCTCGACCAACAACGAGGTCGTTGACGCGCCATTGGCTGCGCTCAAATCTCCGAGTGGGCCTCCAGCGCGGCAATCCTTGCCAGCGATGTAGAGAAAATACGTACCTTTTTTCCTCGGTTCGGTTAACGACTCGCAACCTTCGTTATGCAATCCTAACAAACTCTCGAAGCTCGGTTCCTATCGGTTAACGTTTGGTCCCGCGACGAAAAAGGTACAGATGCGATTAAAAATTCGAAACGTTCAAATTCGATGAATCCTAGACTCGTGTTTCCAATCCCGAACGACTAAAGCAAGTTTTAAATTATGTAGAAAGCCCTTTCGTGTAACGGTGATATTACAGATTAGGGAGGTGGATTCAGGATTCAAGATACAACCTGAAAGTGTTAATGATTCCCGAGTAAATAGAAAGATTAGATGATCGGTGTACCAATGCCCGCCATCGTCCGTCTAGACTATGTCTAGAACGTATAATAAATATCTCTGACCCATACCGTGGACTCTATAGGTCACTGACCACCGTCCAATGGCCTGCCTCGTTACCCGGAAGAACTTACACGCATCTCGAGGTGAAAATTTCTACGTCACGATATAGAAACGAAATTTTACGACCTCGAAGAGCTTCTGCTTTTTAAGCAAAATTATTTTTAACCGCGCACTCGATCCCAACCACTAACACCGCGTAAAAATACGAGCACGAAATCATTCTTTTTTTTTCTTCAAAAGTTTAACTGTTTTCCTATCTTTTATGCATCTGCTGTTACTTCGATCTTATGAATTTTCGTTTGTCTGTGCAGCCAGGGTGAAAAGGTCCTGGAAGACATTAAGTCGCGAGTCTTGGTACTGACTGGAAGATTTAACAACAACAGTAACGCGAATCAAGTCCAACGCGAGAGGTTGACCATGTTTTCGCCCAGCTGTGAGTGTTTTAATTAGATCGTTGGTGATCGATATCTCCTCGATCCACGGTACAGCATTAAAAGTTTGCTCCCTTTGATCAGGTCAAATACCGCGAAACACGGATCAGGAAACCTGGGTAGATCCGTTTTCCATGAACATGCACTTCCAGCTGAATCTAACTTCCGGCGACCACGTGGTCGCTGCTAAGTTGAGAATCTATAAATTACCGCAGGAGAACCTGACCTCTTCGACGGGAGGTACTTTCGAGGAGGAAGACGAGGAAGAAAAGAAAATCCGGATATCGGTCTACTACTATACGAAATCCCTAAAAAAACATCGATGTAAGTTTCGTGGGAGGCAATCGTTTAGTATTAGGTGGGTAGTTCTACAGTGTCTACAATTAATATTTTTATTTACAGCGAAGAAACGCTTAATGGACTCGGTGGTGACACCGCTGGCACCAGAAGGCACTCATCTCGCGTTAGACGTCAGAGAGGGTCTCCGATTCTGGAGGCTGAACCCGCGAAATCCTCATGGAAACGGCAGTAATCACGGCCTGGCGATTCAGGTGGAGGACCAAGATGGCCGACCGCTGAAGCCGGCCCTTTACATTCAACAACCGTCCTGCGGGGACCAAGACACGGATCAGAAGGCATGTGAGTGTGTGCTCTAACAATACTAACTCCCGTGTGACGATTTCAATTGTTTGCCTGTGCATTCCTGCATGACACTTAACAACGTGTGCCATAACACACTTGAATGAAACACATGATCCAGAAACACGACTGTGGATCGCATCGATTATTTGTAAAACATCTATCGACAATGCTGCGTGGTTTTATGATTTATTTCGGAACAAGTTTGACGCTTAATCCTACTGAGACCTCACTTTTATACCAAGAAATTATATTTTTCTTTAATAGTTCAAATATTACCGATCAATACTCAAAATACTTAGGAAAAAATTTTCTACTTTTCAATCTTGGTATTCTTGTTGTAAGAGCGAAATATCGAAAAGGAATTTTAATTTAAATGAAAAACAAATGTTCGAGAATTTGAATAGAATTTTTAATCTCGAGAAATTAAAATTTTCTATTGTAGTGTAGTATTTGTGTCTTTTTTTAAATATAATTTAACGCTTATAATATTTACGAAAATGTACTTGTATACTTCTAAAAGCAAAATTGAAAAATTGTAATTTGAATAAAAAATAAATGTATGGAAATGTGGACAGAATTTTTAATCTCGAAGTCCTTCGGTCTTGAGGCGGATAAAAAATGTTTGCGAGTGTTTATTTCTTTTTTTTTTTCTTAATGTTGTACTTTGTAACAGTAACTAACGATAGTTTCCTCTTGGTTTACAGACCAGCGCGTACCTGCACTTTTCATCCGAGCCTGTACTCGTTATGTTCGCATCGTAAACAGCGAAACTGTGACGTACGTGAATTGTAGGCATTAAAACGAACGAAGAAACAGTCAGACGCCAACGAAAAAAGGACGATCGTTAACAGCGCAATTTATTCTCGGAGGACGAAAAAAGAACCGAGAATCAATTTCACGAGGAGCGTTACATTTTTCGAGCGACTCGAAGGGTATCGTTTATCGAACATAGGCTACAAAGTACATTTTCAACGATAGTCTGGGTCTCGATTATAGTGTTTTTTGTTATTAGCCATAAAAAAAAGGCAAAAGAAACGTGGTTTTATTACTGTTTTCGTATTATTATGTCTATTTGCGTAGCTTGCTTTACACGTATCAAGAATAATTTTCCCAGTTTTTATGTTAAAAAAAAAGGACTATTTAATGACACTAGTAACATTTCGATTGTATTGAAGAGTGGCGCCGCCACGGTTTCAATTGCTTCCAGGCAAATCGAACGCGTGACGATGGAATTGAATAGCTGACGATGGCTGCGTGGAAAATATGTACGACGATCCCGGTAGGAATCCTTCACAGAATAGACTGTCATTTTAATCGTTAACTTAAAGAAGAATCGCATCGTTATTTAAGTGCAATAGTACGTAAGTCGTATCTTATTATTTCGTATCGTTTATCATATTATGCACGGACGCGGCGTTCCAAACCGGTTCGCGCTATTTTCCGGCTAACATTTAAGTTAAATGTTAAACGATTTAACAATGTACATATCAGCGAAGCTGCATCGATAGGTTTATAAGTTGATTAGATTATGCTCGTTGACCTGTATACATACGTACGCGTGCGTCGGTACATGTGTATACACATCATGCCCATGACTGATGTAACCAAATGTAAAACTTTAGGGTAGATATTTATGTCATACGTTGATTAAACAATGGTGAGCCTTGCAGGTCTTTTTTTATCATTATTTTTTAGACGAGATAATAGATGGAAATCTATTTTTAACCTAACGTCGCGCAAACGTCATGTTTTGCAGACGTTCGTATTTCTCTTTATGCTTATTTTATATCTCAAAGGTTCCCAAAAAACTTATGCTACTTACTATTACATATAGTTGTCGTATAAAGAAAGAAACAACAGGTTCTTGTAACTTTTACACGATTGTTGTATATAATGTATATTTAATTATCTGGTTGCGCAGAAATAAATGCATTGACGTCGAAACATAACCACATTTTTGCATTTTGTACATTTCAAATTTACCCCCTTACTATTACGTGTATGATACATGTTCTATTCTTCAAATGTTCTTGAATATTTAAATGTTTTGAAAAGTCAAATATAATAGTAGTGTGTTTTAAAAAGAAAATTCTGTATTGCATGATTTTTAGAATATTTTATATCGTTTATTTCTCTTGTTTCGAACGTGCATTTCTTTCCAGAATTTTTTATTACGAAATATGTGCCCTCGTATAATTTATTTTTATATTTTTTTTTTCATTTCTTGAATTCACTGTGCCCTTTCATCTTACACATATAATGCAGCATGCTAAAATGTTTTATTTTTTCATCATTTTAAAGTATTTTATACATTTTATTAATTTTGTTATTTCATCTTACCATTATGTTAATTATTATGCGTACAATGACGTGGCAGACATTCTGTACAAAAATGATTTTATTAAAAATTCTCATTTATAGGAAATTACAATCAACATTTACAACAGAATAATCCACAATTAGACCATTTTCGTTGTCAAAACGTGAAAATTACTGACAACGAATTATTTTCTTTTTTTTTTAATAGCTGATCTGAGCCTGCGTGCTTTGCTTACTGCAATTAGTAAATCGCTCTGAGAAACTGAACGGAATTTATATCCGAGTATAAAGCAAAAAATTCATTTAAACTGGTGATGTAAAATGCATCAAGAAACACATACGTGTAGTAATAAATAAATATGATCGCTCAATGTGGAACGCTGTTTTTAAATTCATCATGAAGCAATTTAGTATTATGATTGCCCAGTAATATACAATATTAAGGATGTTGCCTTGTTACGTTTTTCCACTACATAAAATGAAATGCAATTCATGATTGAATTGCACAAAAATATTTTTCATAGTTATCATGAAGAAGATCCTGTCATCCTATGACAGGAATTTTATTATACTACTTTTTTAATATTTTAATTATTAGTATCCCTTTTTTGTATTTGTACCCAATTTTTGAGCGCTGCATCCTCTCGAACGAACGATGCGTTAATTTTAGTTAGAACACGTTTTTCCTCAAAATAAGAAAGAAGGATTGCACCTAATGTCGTTAAGAACCCGACAACAAATTTGACGGCCGGTTCAAAGACAAATTTGCGAAATCAAAACGAGACAAAAGTGTCTAATACAAATCTCATCGAACGTAGCCCATTTTAGACACACGATCTAACAGACTTATGAAATTTATTTCAGAATATGTAGCCCCGCTTCAATGAACGTACGCGAATTGTACAGCTATGAATTTGACGCGAATACCAAAATTTGATACGATCGTTCCGTTGTGCTTTTCAATGCACCAAATTCATATAGCTAGCTACACCTACAAATGTTTACATCACGATCAGGAACGTGTATCCGCAAATTCACCGTAAATAAGCAAGAATTCTTACAACGTAGTTCATCTATCGACAAAGACCTTCTTGCCCAGCATCTTGAATTCTTTTTACGATTGTCTTAATATACCGTTCGCCATTTGCAGAATTTGATTTTCGTTCAGTGTTAATTTAACGCCATTATTGTGCCTGGATGATGGTGTATGAGTTTTCGCATTTATAACAACTATCTAACGAGGTGTCACTCTTCTATTCTCATGATGGTGTAAACACAGGGCCATGCATGGCTATGAATGTAATATGTGTTTTCCGTGAGGTTTCTGTAACGAGTCACTGACTTTCGTATCAGACCCCGAAGATGATAAAATGCACTGATTCTTTGAATTTGGGCTGATATCGCTGATTTCGCCACAATCTGTTGTGACTCGTATGCCTGGCCTAGCTGTCGCGGTCGAGCGAGTCCAGCGTATCGTTGCTGGACGAGTGGGTCAGATCGCTCAGCTCGTCCAAATGTTTCTGCTTTTTGCGGACATTCCAATGCAGACACTCTGCCAGAGAGTCGAACCAGTCGGTAATTTGGTCAGCCGCGCAAATGCTAGGCACTGGGTATATAGACGTGGTCACTCTTAAGCTGCAAAGAGTAGAAAGAAAATATCCATTGGCTGGTTCAACAAAACTGAATCTGGAATTTGCACACTCGACGACTTTTAGCAACAAATAGATGAAAACACGAAAAGCACCATCACCTTGCAGGACAGCCAACGTCTCGTTTCTAGGAAAATATGTCGTGAATGGATAAGAAATGAGATTCCATTGACACCAGTCGCCATTAGAGGGGCGTACATTTCGTGATCGATCAATTGGAATGATAATAATATTCTAAATTCGATATCGATAAATGCATATGCATGTTTACTGACAAACCAATCCGAGAAAGGAGGAATGAAATGAACTTTGGAAAAAAAGAAAAGAAAAACAAAACGGAATTTAAATAAATGAACATGTCGTAATGTTGCACCATCGTGCAGCTGCGATGAAAATAGAAGGAAGAAACGAAAGTCTTTTACGAAATAACAGGACAGACCTGTCCCCGACGCGTAGCTCTTGCTGATTGCGACCGTCGAAGGAGACGTAAGCTGTGCTGCGGGCCTCGCTGTTTGCCATTATCTGGAATAATTGCGAAAAACGCAAACGATTAGACAGATCTGACATGCGGTTAACTTTTACCTGTCACCGTGGAAGAGCTCTTGTCTATTTCTACCGTCAAAGGACACCCACGACGTGTTTCTGCTGTCGGGTGAAACAGAAATCTGTGATAGAAAGTAAGACTTTGTAGTTAAATCGTCGACGGTGAAAGAAATCTGTGGGGGGAGGTCGAAGCGAATCGTTTAAGAAAGGTCAATCTACGGTATTCTCTGTCAGATTATCAAAAATTCAGAAAAGGTTTCTCTTTACACGTATGAATGAATGAAACACAAGTGAAGCAGTTACAGAAAACGATAGAAATCACTTTGCAACAACCTATCAAAGATTACTGTGATCAGAAACACAAAGTCTATCCCGAGCTCAACTTATCAGCGCATGGGACGCTCTTCTAGACGTATCAAAATTATTTTAAATGGCAAGGGGCAACGCATAGTCTGAGAATGCGGACGACATCCATTGGAGTCAAGTTTCCTTCTATGGGACAACGCACGAACTAGAAAATTTGATGTCACCGCGATAAGAGTCTCTACTGACCCACACAGAAATACTGCGTGATACTAATTCCATGTTACTTGATACAGACTCTGACAATTAATGACCAGTCAATCGCAATACGCAATCTAACTTTTTCTATAATGATACGATTAGTACTGAAGGTAGTTTCCTTAACTTCGCGTTGAGTCTGGGAGCACGTATAGAAAGTAGGTGAAAAGGCGGTGGAACAAATATCGGAAGTACCTTTAGCTCGACGCCGGCTGGCACAACGATCGGCCTGAAGGACAAGGAGTGAGGGCAGATCGGCGTGATCATGATGGCAGGTACCGAAGGATGAATCATGCTGGCTCCGGCTGCAACGGCGTACGCGGTCGACCCGGTCGGTGTGCTCACGATCAGGCCATCACCCTGCACGCTGGTCACGTGTTTGCCGTCGATGAAGAGGTCGATATTCGAGAGGTACGGAGACGGGCCACGATCAACCACGACCTCGTTCAGCACCAGAAGATTTGTCGGTGGTTTGGCCGGTTTACCCTCCTCTCCTTTCCGCATGATGATACATCTCAGTCGACTTCTCAGGGTCAAGGCCGCGTGACCTAAACAGAAGGCCAACGTTCGTCAGATTTACAACTTTGCTTTTAACAGGATGTTGTCAGCCATTTCGGAACGCATCGACCGTAAGAGGTTCATTTTTTTCCACGCGGCTCGACGATGAGTTTTTTCTTGCGCGTGTATCTTACAGTGATTCAGTGATTATTTATTGCGAAAACCAGTTGTCCAACCTTTTGCTCGATCGAATGGGGCTCTCAACGGTTAAAGAAAAGTATCGATTAAGCGAAGATATTGTTTCCGCGAAAGGCTCTATCGTAAACCAAAGCACGGAAATAATGAATCTTAAAAATGCAAACATTCTCGATGCTTTAAAGCAAACAGACGTTCGTGTAAGAGTCTCGAGTCTGCGGGAAAAACGTCCAAGAGTGGATGATGTCAATTATCATTATCATGAGACCGTAATAGTAGTGACAAGATGTTATTTGTTCCAATGTCCAAATCATCGACCAGTTTTTTTACCTGTGATTTTTTTATTTAACAGCAGAGCTGTGTTATTTCCTGTAAAACCTGTTTAAGTCAAATATCCTGAACGCATAGTATGATTCGATTGTTGTGCAAACTTAGCGTGTTCCATTGTATCGAGAAGATAATATTCCCGAAGGACAATGATTTTCGCAATCAATTATTTTTGTCATAAAGGATACCAAAGTAGAGATTCGTTACTGACCTTCTAATACATTTGTTACTTGTTCCTGGAAATTGTCGAATTCGAAGGGCGTTAAGAATCCTAACGAACCAAGATGAAACGCCATTACAGGTGGAACGGATTGTTGAAAGAGCAAACTTGCATAGAGAAGAGTTCCATCGCCACCCAAACAGACGATGAAGTCGATACGATCCTTCAATAAATATGTGTGTCAACTTTCGATCGTGGAATAGTATATCTTAAAACTTGAGAAATTAAGCGTTTACCTGCAAATCGTCCGTACCGTCCCTGAAGGTTTGCAGCCTGTCTCGAACACCCTCGAATCTGGGGTCCCTAGCCAAGGCTGAATCCTCCAAGACGGATGCTTCGACGAAAACTACCATCCGTTTTTCCTGCGAATAAGTAGAACGTCAAGTTTCATAACGCGTCTAAGCTTTATTGCATAGCGCAGAAGTACGTGAAACCGAGTCACGATGTAAATAAGCGCAACAATATTGTGCAGCGTCTGTAAAAGGACACGATGCAAAGTCATCGTTTATACAACTTGCGAAAACTTTGGTCACGTTGAATCGATAAACTGAAAAAGAACTGCATTGCACTTGTAAGTCTCAAGGAGACCGAGTAGATAACAAGAACAAAAATGTAATGACACTTAAAGGACGCAAGGTGCTTTCTTTGACGCAGGTTCCTTCTTTGTCTCTTTCTGACGACCTCGATTTATGCATAATCTATATATAAATAAAACGCAGTTGGATCTGTCTGTTTGTAACCGCATCATGAGAATACTGCTGAAGCAATTCTGATAAAACTCGGGCCGTACTTATAAAGTAACGTGATTTGTAACCTGAGATATACATGTAAAATGTATACTATCTCCGGCTTACCGCTGCTTTTACAGCAAAAATTGCATATAAAAAAAGTTGTAGGCAAACAAGAAAGGTAAAGCTCATACAAAATGTAATCTGATAAAATACGTGCAATTATCGTTTAAATGCTGCATAATTTTATAAATTTTTAAAAATTTTATAAAAATAAAATTTAAAGTACCATACAATTATTATGAAATACAATTTTGAGTATCTTGATTAGTGTTCAATTGGGCAATGAACGATCTTTAAAGAGCATAATAACTGTCTAATTATCATGTAATTATCCGCATAATTACAGGCAATTACAGCGTGACAAATGCAATCAGATTACAGTTTTGCATAACTCTGATACATTACAAGGATGAGTTGCAATTTATCAGAAATCGATAATTTGTTGCATTTACATATTTCCTACCTCGAACAAAGTCGGCTATTTTAGCTGTTTACAGTGAAACTCTGAATCGTTGAACACTTCAGAAAATCATTTCTTGAATATCGCTCCAAAGAAAAAAATCGTTTGAAAACCGTAGGAGTGTTTATGGGAGACAAGAGATGCTTCGAAGGACCAACATTAGACGGCAATAATGCTTACTTCTATTAGCCAGGTGACTAATTGGACGAACGGTGGCAATACCGACGAATCACGGACTTTTTTGATGACCAGAACAGTGAGAGGCGGCTTGTACCACGTCAGCCTCTGAGAGGCAGGGTCCTGTATGGTCCTGTAATAAGACAAATATGAAGTCTACTCAATCACATAGCATTCAGCTTTATAAAAACAACCTGATCGATGACGTAGATCGAGACCTATTACACTTTATTTACCGTGCCCGATGATGAAGTCGAAAGTTGAGGGAACAATATCGTTAAACGTGCATCATTAAATACACGTACGTCACTGTATAATTAATATTAATGACAAAATTGTCAAGGGTCAAGATACCTTGCGTTAAATAGTATACTTCTGACAACATTGTGCGAACTTTTTCATGTAATTTATTCTAACAATAAACGAGTTATATCCCGATGATGAACCGAAAGTGTTATCGTAATCAGTGGATTTACACCTGTCATTAAATAGAAATACGATTAGAGCGACACAAAATACAAACAAATTATGATTCTGTGTTAGTGTAGGTTTTATCTAAAATTTAAGAAATTGGAAAATTTTTGATAAAAACGAATTTTATTTTTGCGTTATAAGAAGAAATAATTCTAATTCCGACGAAAAGTTTTTACTCGATCATTTTGACTTAGTATTTTAAAGGTCCACGTTTGGAACTACACGCTTTAGAATACACGTAAAAATGAATTTTTTATTCACTCGAAATACGCTAGACCCCTCTTTGATGTATCAGATAACCAAAATAGTTTGTACAATTTTATGCATTAAAAACAAAAAACCTCGATAAAAACATAGACGACTTTTATTTATTAAAATAAGCACACTCACAATCTATGACCTTATTTCAATGAGATACAAGTACATTAACCCACTTCTGCAGCTTTCGAACAAACCTTAGAGTATATGGGCACTAGAGCATCCATTCTAAAAGAACTCAAATACACAGAGAAAAAGTACTTATTAAATTACATTGCAAATTGAAACATACGTGCAACGATATAATACAGTACGAAACAAAGCTACACAAACTTTGTTGATTATCTGATATACAATTTCGAGGAGGGGGGAGATCTGCAAGCATATAAAAAATTAAATCCATTGCTCACGACGTTATTTAATATTATTAAAAGTAACGAGTGAACTTTTGTGAATGGTACGTACCCATTTTCACACAAAGGCAACGGATCGAAAAGCTTATCATTAAATTAGGGTCGCTGAGATCAAAGGTGAGAACGGATCAATAATGCATAATGCAAACTGGAATACGAGGGTGATTGTTAATTAGTATTCGCATTGTTCCCATTACCTATCTCGAAAAACGTTACGATGCAATTTTCATCAGAAAAATTTTAACAACCATACGCACGTTTAAAGAAATACTTTGCAGATATGTACCGATAGACGCGTACTGTATACGATTGAAAATTCTAGAAATGTTCCAGCATTAATTAGCGAAAAATATCTTATTAACCGTCGATTATTGTTGGTTACGATCACAATTGCATCGCTTTCAGCGGAACACGAACTTCCGTTTCCTCTTCGACGATGAGTTAGATTCGATCGAGTATGACAGGTCACTTGTTATTATAGTTTTTTTAAATACCGATTGACAAATAGTATGTCATTTCGAGTTCCAGTAATTAAATAGGAATGTTAGAGGATAGCGAATACGGTTTCCCTTCGAAATAAAAATTTAATTCGGTTTCAATGATTCTGTAAAGAGCCTACCTTACAGTTCCAACCATGACGTGGTACCGGATTGAGAGTTGCGCTCGCACTGAACGTGGACCGAACTCGGCGGTACGTTTTTTAACGGTAAACAATCGGACGCCGCGCAAGCGCACACGCGCTCCTATACACGCTATTCGTTTACAGCGAATACACGTTATAATGCGAACACGGCTGATACACGTAGCCACGATTCACGTGCATTTGTTTAATCGACAGACACTTGTTGCCGTGACTATGTACTATCGTACTCAACGCGACAGTGAGCGTATGTATAATGTGTGTATAATTTAACTTAAAATCAACAAATATCAATCTATAAAAAATTTTATCAGTTTCAACGTTTGCACTTGTTTCTATAAAAATTTTAGATATTGTTTCATTTCATCGCGCAGGACTCGTACTATACACGACATTCTTGTCTCTGATTTCCAAAATTATTCAGATCTTGATTAATCGACATAAAAGAAACAACATCCAAAGAATTATTTTATTTCATTAGCTGAAACATTTATGGGTTTTGCTGGATCACATTGCAATGCATGTGTATTTATATAGTCAACTATATCGCTCATTTTATCATAAAATAATTTTTGGAAATATTTCATAGGAAAGTAGGGTGCTTCAAAGTCTTCAAGACAGAGTCTTTCCAAAAACGATGAAAACTATTTTTCGTGTGCAATGCTGATTGCCAGACAATATTTATTTATTCAATAATATTTATGTGTCATCGGGTAAATACTATTAGATAAATATCATCTGAGTCAGAATCCAAATTCCATCTTCGGGTCTATTACCTGTAATACTTCTTAAACTTGTTGCTCTTTTATTTTTATATGATTATGTATTCGTATTTTAGACGTTTGATATTGTAAAACTAAGAAACAAAACAAACACTATAGTTCATTGTGACTTGAAAGTTACAGAGCTATATCATATAAAAATAGTAACAAAATTACTGTTGAAATAAAAACAAACATTACTGATGTACAAACTAAAAACTATTATATACGTTTTTTTTTTTGTTCAACAAACACCAATGAAAGAACAAATAATGACAATTGTTTCTACTTTTAGATAATTTATAAAATCATTTACTTCGATACTTCAGATTAGAGGAGATAACTGTTACCAAGATTACTATTGGTTACTAAGAAGATATTTTATAACAAGACGTATACATCACCTTATGAAAAAAAAAATTATACTATTTAATAAGATATCGTTGCATGTTCCACAAAGAAATTGTTCCAATGGTGATATATCTTTTTAATTTTTAACTTATCGTTACTAATTTTTGCATCTTACAATACGAATCGCGCAAGTCCATTGACCAACGTTCGAGGACAATTGCCTTCTAACGAAACTCATTATTAATTTATCTTTGCACACGTGTAAGGTACTATGAAAACACTAAAATTGTATCTGCTGAGTAAGTAATAAATGATGCATTTTATGTTTAATTATGGCATTAGCAATCAGCGCATAGTGATGAATCACAATAAAAGGGAACGTACGCAACAATGACTATTATTAATGTAAATGTAACAATCTCTCATGAATAGATACTATTTTTATGCGAGCGCACTTTGTTCATTAACTTGAATCGACAAGATATCATAGAGACGAAGAAACTCTTTACAAATGTCTCGTTAATGATTATAAAATCATAGGATTTATAAGGTCATCGTCGTCGAACAATTGGGTCAACGCGTGCTATTTGTACATAGTGTACTTCTTTTTACACGAAACAGCATACTTTCCTTCGCTCCGCCAGACTACCATAAATGCTAGAAAGAACCGTCTAAGAAAAAAGTTTAAGTCTCCATAACGGAGCAACGTGACTTTCTAACAACGTTAATGAAACGTGAACGAATGACTATGGTAAAAAAAAAAATCTGAAATAGTAAAATAGTAGAAAAGAGGATCTACTTACATGAATGATTATGTCAGTGAACAAATGACTATGGTAAAAAAAAAAAATCTGAAATAGTAAAATAGTAGAAACGAGGATTTACTTACATGACCATTGCGGAATTTTTCATAATACGCCCGCATGGGCCGAACTGTTGAATAGGATTCGGTGCATTCAGACTTCTCGTTCTCCTGTGAACAGAAACGAAGTGTAATTAGTAGAATCGTCGGATCAACGGAGAATTTTCATAACGATGCGTAACAAGATAAAAGAACACGCTTGTTTTTATACTTTTTTTTCTTTATCATATCATCCTCCGTCTGGAAACGCAATGAACAGACGGAAGCGACAGAGCAAGACTCATGATATTGTGATCACTGTTGAATAATAAAAAAAAAAAAAATAAATAAAACTTCACGCGGTGCTTATTCATGCAAGTACTCAGCGACATAATAGCGAGTGCATGCGAATCAATTTGTAATACACTGTACAAGCAATTACGTCGGCATCTCGCAAAGTGACTGGAGGATCCACGGTGAAACGACGTTGGACCGTCACAGACTGGTCATTATTTTTTTAAACCGAGCGCTAGTCAATTGTGATTTATTGCTGCTTATGATTTACGAGCGATTCGACAAAAGACGTCGATAAAACGGAGCACTGTACTCGAACAAACAACGAGCGTAATAGTTGATACAACAAGCGCCACAAAGTGTTTTTTTTTACAAGGCACGCGGGATAAAACGTTGGATAAAGTTTCTTCGCGAAATGCGTCGAGAAAAAGTCACGCCAACCTGCACGAGCATCACTCACCACGCTTGAACCTAATTATTACGATTTGATACACATGCTCGTCGAGTGACGCGTGAACATAAACGCGCGCGCATGTGTCGCACGTGTATGTTAATCAAGAAACAGTGTAACGACAGTTGAATGAAAATAATAATTATAATCGTTCGATCGGTCACTATTCACGGATAAAGACAATTCGCTAGTGATTATCACAGTTGTTTGTGACTTTTGTGTTTTATCAGGCGTTGATGACGCGCGGCTTCAAGACGTACCTACGCGCTACTTTATATCTTAAATAAGCACGACCGTCACGTTACCGTTCTAGGCTCTTGCATCGTTACGTTTCGTTCGCAGTTTAAAATTAATTCTCGTTTCGAAAGGGGGGTGGGGGTGGGCAAAAAAAAATTTCTACCTGAGCACTCTGTTCCGTGGAACATTCCCCATCGACGCGTTGATCGATCCCTTTCCCAGCGAATCGATATCGAAATTTACATCTAGGTGTCCGTTGCTTCGAATCTCCAGCAAAGGCGACACTTGGTCTGTCATTTTCTCACCGACAAAACGCGAGCAATTAATCCGCGAGCTCTTCGGGAAACACGCAGTTTTCTTCGAATTTCAGACGAACGTTGCGAAAGCCATTTACTTTGCAAGATTCCGTCAAGTTGTCCAAGGTACAGCTATGTTAATTACTTCCAACTTCGGCGCGCAGTTGCGTAATGGTATAACGATTCCGATTAAGGATCCGTCTCAATCTTTCGATCGTATGAATCGATTACCGACAGAGTCCCATCGCTCGTGCAGCGATCGAATATCGTTGCGAACAACCAAGGAAAAATCGTACAAGCGTCGTGGTAGTGTCGCTGTATCACACGAGGTTGACGATCCGACGATAGCAGGCGTTTTTTTCGTGATACTGTCCAAGCGGTAATGCGTGACGCTGATTCAGTAATCTCGAGTTACATAAAAAATTCTATCGTGCGATCAAACACCGACCAACGATGACACGAAGATTCTCGAAACGCTACGAAGAATCTCTCTCAAATAACTGACCATAAAATCCAAACGTTCGTCTGGTTTTTCGACCCCACCTACTAAGAAATAGTCAAACACACGGTTTCAAGGCCGGTCAATTCTTTTCGTGACAGTCGGTACTGAATTAGAATTTACTTGGCATACTTTCCAAATGCATACGCGTTAAACTTGCTATTTCTAACAATGAAGTACCACAAACACGTTTACGTTTCCAGTCATAGGGCCAAAGTTCTTCGACGTAACGATCTCGAGGAGAATTCGTGACGCCTTAGTCAATTGTCTCATAGAAACAGATCGCGTTCAATGACGACTGAAGATTTCAAAGCGTCAATTTGTTAACCTTGAACTCCCCATTAGTAATCACGCTTGAAAGAGTAAACGATGCAACGAATAACATTTATGTATTATTCATGTTACTCTTGTTGTAATGGAACGTGCGATCCGAAAGATGATCGTAGGTACGCAATTGTTCCTCCTGAATTATTTGAAAATTATCAATGAAACTCACTTTTCCACGCACCAAACTTTCACCTCACTTTTTATCCAATACATATTCGCGACGAAAGTGTCTTTTATTTGTCACTGTCTATAGAGTATAGATGTATCAGCCACGAGCATTTTATTGCGTGGAGCAGACTCTGGAAAGGACCGAATCGCAAGGTGGCTGCACGCAGAATGACGATCAGACCGGAGGTAGCCAACAATTACGGGCTTCTTTGTCTGGAACCGCCGGTATACCGTAAACTCCACGGTTCTTGTCAGTAATAAATCTATCGTTTTATTATGTAATAATACTCGATGTCGTATCTTATCGTGCGACAAATCTACCTATAAGTTAATCAATTCTGTGGAACAGTTGTGCCATTCGATCTCGAAACGATTCTGCTCGTTGATTATCACAAAAGAAGGAAAATGAAACCGAAAACATTCACACATGTTCACAAGCAAGAATCTGACGAGCTACTACGAAAAAAACTTTGATAATATTTCCAAATCTATTAGGTAACTTTTTCTTCTGATTTCGCTCGGTCCGACCACGGGCAGACTTTCTCTCGATTGATTGGGAAACACAGAAAAAGACGGAGATATTTTACGAAAAGATACAGTAAATTGTTCGAAGGGAGGATGGTATTGTTCGTGAAAAGTCGCGTGTCCCTAATCAGTGGCCTAGATTCCGGCCTGTGGAAAGCTTAAGAAACCACCGACGATTTTCTTCTACAACCTGTCGGGGCTCTCGATCGAATCTGGAAAGGAGAAAACGATCGGTGCGTACGTCCGGTTCGGTAATCGATTGCATCGACGTGGAATTTCTGAAATTCCAATGAACGTTGTAACGGGGGCGCCATGTGCGAAGCCCACATGATCGAAATCTAACTGAACAGCCGAGACGAAAAACGACAGGAAGCCCAGAGCATAAAAGATTGAATAATTCTAATTGTAACAGTGATTCTCTTTAAATGCAACAATCCATATAGTTGAAAAATAGAACTTATACAAACGAGGATTTAGCGCCTTAAAATTTGGGGTCCTTCGATTCCTTGGTTCAAAATAACTACTAAGAACGTACAGGAATCTATTTAACCCTAAAGAATATCTGAATTTATCGGAAACGTACACTATACTCCGATGTAACTAGCACATACACCTATACAGTTTGCAACAGCCAACATTAATATTGGACACATTGTTCAAAATCTAATTGAAGTGAATTTCATTAAATATAATATTTAAATCGTATTCGCGTCTACGTAGACGATTACAAAAACGAAGATTCTAATTCTACAGTGGCTTTGTGTACATGTCCTTAGCTTGATTTTGCAAATAGTAACTTTAATGTGCTGGATGTGCAACTATAAAACAATGATCTTGGATCTGCCATCTTACCATCTGATCAGATTCTCTTTAATGACCTTCAGACAATCGATTGAAAAATGTTTAACTAAAGTGTAAACAATCATCTATAGAAGTTAAAAAGAAGTGAGAGAAGTTTAAATAAACTTTTATCCCAGAAAGTCTACTAGACATCATTTGAATACTACTGCATGATGGCATGGAATTAAATAAGTTAGCAAACAGCGTAGCAATGGAAATATCCTTGGATATTCAGTAAATTAATAGTCATATTCCCTCTCATGATTACTCAGATTCTAAAGAAACCATCGAAGCAAAATACAGAGAAGACTTGGAATAGCAAAACCACTTACAAGAATAAACTTTACTTTGATAATTTATATAAACCATCCGAAAGGCCTTGGTTTCACAATTATAATCTTCCAAAACAAATTACCACTTTAATCTCTAGATATAAACACAACTGTTATAACTTTGCTGGCTCTTTCTCCAGCAGCTATAAAAACCAACACTGAAGTTTAAAGAATTGATAAGCTTCAAATCCGATCACACCAAAGCATAAATATAAATGCATGTGTGAATATGTATATAAGTCTGTATGAATGTAGGTATCTGCGCATGCATATAAATATGTATGTACCTATGCCTATAATTAAATACCAAATTTGACCAAAATACCTTTAAATTATGATAGTTATAAAAAATCTAAAGTTGTAAAATATCTAAAATAGATACTTTTATAATCTTTCATGCGAGTTTTACAGTTGTATATCTATGAAATATGAGGTGTAATAGGTTAGATTTGCACATTCTGGCTTATGAAGTAATCTAAAGCTTATTACTTTAATAATGAAGCATAAGAAGACAAGGAGTTATAATCCAAAAGAATGCTCAGTGGAAGGTAAATACACTCTTGTTTTTAAGGAGGTCTTATTCCCTTGAAGCGATCATGGTTTGTGGTACTGTTTCGTTGCAAATTTGTAACTGAACATTGGTGTGCTATGTTTATGCACACAATGATGTGTATCGACCAACCTAAATGTCATTTATGTTTCATAGAAACTTCCTAAATATTGTGGGACTTAAACTAAGACAACTATTTCTTCTGTTTAAAAAAGATATGCCAGAACACAGCTGTACATGCAAGTACATACTTCATATTGTTGCATCTATGGTCACAGCAAGCTATACTAATTTATTTTATTACACAACGAAAGCCTATGGTAAATATTTTTCTGCATAAATGTCTCTGCGATTCATAGTTGTTGCAGCCCACAATTGGTGACAGTCTTGTAGTTATCACTAGTCATTCAAAATGTTCCAACAGAGATTGATAATTAATTATACTTGACAACAGGGAAGGCTACCTGTCTACTACAGATAGAATCTTTGTTGCAGTATTGGAAATCATAGAGCAGTGGTATTTTCACGTTTCCATGACAAGATCACTTCACATTTTTGTATCTCCGTCGCAACGCGTTATATAAATGGTGCACTACTGTTCGAATACACATTTGTAGTTCGTTTATTGTAGCACATGTTACAATTGAAGATTTAGGTTAGGCATTCAGGACTCGTAAACCAACACGTGCCCTACCTTAATTCAGCCTCGTCCATTTGCACCAACCGTCGAAAAGAACTTAATATAGCGTTGAAAACAAATATGGTGTTCGATGAACGAGACCAGAGATGCACGAATCGACCGGGAGTAAGACACGCACTGAGGAATTGCAAAAGAAGTTCGTGAATACCATGGACGGGTCGACGCTCTGCCAGAGACGACCAATCAATTCTATTGCGCGTGAGACAACGTCTATTTTCTACTGATTTTATTTAACTTCTTTTACGCAACTTCGCTTGTGGACGTGACAATGATACGAAACTCACGAAAACAAAAGGTAGACTGCTATTATACGTCATAAATTGTAGGTTAAAACATATTTCGTTCCGAACGTGTTTCATAAATGATAAAATTATTTATGACGCCTGGCAGTCGTTGGCAAATTGTTGGCCTATTCAGCGTACCAGCAACAGATTATCAGTTTTTATTGGCGCGAAGCGTCCCCGAGCAGTAGGAATGTTGAGCAAGCAAACGACTTCGCTCAAGTTTCGCACGAATTGGAATCGGATTACGCGGTTCCAGTTTAATTACGAAATTGAACGACCGTATACTGGTTTCGCTATAGTTTCGTTCATACGACTTACTTTTCATTTCGTTACGAACGTATTCCACTATTACTTATCCAAGCATTTCTACCGAAGAAGTCAATGCAATCGATCGAATAAATTGAAAAAATCCTTTGCCGATATTTTATGCGTGTTGCACGGATGCAGAAGCGAATTGTGCTCTTATAAATTCGAAGAAAAAAAAAATTTCCGGTACCGGGAATCGAACCCGAGCCTCCTGGGTGAGAGCCAGGTATCCTAGCCACTAGACCATACCGGATTTAGTGACAACTTAGCTGTGAAATTTTGAACAGTTCAGTGAAGTTTAATTATAATTTGACGAGAAACATTTTTCAATGTTTCTAGTCACTAGACCATACCGATTTATCAATATTTGACTTTTGCCGCTATACCATACCGAGATATTATTATTATTTCGTCGAAGAATGCAGAATCTTTCGTCACCGAAACAGAAGTCCAAATACGAAGAAAACTGTTTACCAACTACGTTCATGGGATCATTACAGCGTACGGTATTATTATTTCTATGAACAAGTTTCTCTTTCTACATTCCTTTGTGCGGAAGTGCACGTACCCAGGAATATATGATACTTTTCTAACCACTTTCCATAATGGTGCAAAGTCGTTACTCACGGCCAAGTGCCGGAACGTTTCCTGCGACGCATTTCCGGGTCCTTGTCGTAATCCTCGAGGAAGGGCACATCCTTATAGGCATCGTCAATGCTGATGCTTCCTTTATTCTTGGCGATGCACCTCCAGTCAAGCATTTCGCTTACGCTTCGTCGTCGTGGCTTTTCCCTCACCATTTCCATCATCCGTTAATCATCTCCTTTTCGAATCGTTTCAACAACGTCCCGCAAACCCGCTGACCGAGTTACGCATTTTCGGCGATTCGTTCTCACTGGCTTTACAAGATCCATCGACGCAACACGTGTCCCATGAAACGAACTTTCGACAAGACCGCACGCATGTTCAACCCTTCGAAAGTTTCAAATATTTATCGAAAGTACGCTTTTCAGCGTCCCTCGACGTTTTGTTTTCCAGTAAAATGATTTTGTTTCGCGTTAAAATGATCGACGCGTCGGTTACTCGAAATATTAATCGGTCGCCGATCACGCGACACGTGATTTTTTCGCGCGATACTTTCAAAAGCCCTACGAGACGCGCGCTTTCTTTTTTTTCTTTTACGTAAGTGGAAATAATTAATGTCTAGCTCGTACTGACCTGGTAACTAAAGACCCCATTCTGAAAAGCAGCCGGCAGAAAAAGGAAAAACGACTTCGTTGAAGTTACACGCGAGTATAAATAAAACTTAGAAAGTGTTGCGCAATTCTCGCTTGATGGTAATAAATTTGTGTCGGTGTAGTTTCTCATGCACAAGAAACTACACACGTACAGGCATTAACACGAGTTTAATATTGGTGTAAATTAAAAAAATGCTTACGTTTTTGCTTCCTGTTACGAGCGTCTAGCGCAGTGTTTCCCAACCTTTTTTAGATCGTGTCTCCCACCCCTTTCGAGCACAATAATAAACCAAATTCTGAATACTTATGATACAAACAGGCAATTTAAATGAAAACAAATTTTTTAAACGAATATAATTTTCCAATTGCCTCTAAGATATTAAAAATTGTCTTCCCTGTGGAGCGTACGTCTTAGGTTGGTAACACTGGTCTAACGATCAAATTGTCCAACAAAAGTTGTTCCAGAACGGGTGATACGAGTTAATGTTATTTGATTTTAGCGCGGGTTTGTAGCCTACTTGCAAACTTCGATAATTTCACTTCGTGACGAACAGAGTAATTGGCTATTCGTTATCGAAACCCATTTTTCATTTATTATTTATCTTATCGCTCGACACGAATATACATATATTTTAATAAATATCTACGTAATATTTCTGTAGTTTCCAGTATTTCAATATCCCGTTTGGCAGCGACCAAAAACCATCGAAAACGGTTCAAAAAAATTTTCATACGCCCTAAATAAACGAATACATTTGCACAATTGTTAATGTTAATTTTCGATCAAGCAAGAATTCGCTTCCATGACCAAATTATAATGTCAAATTACAGAGACGCCCGTCATCGTTCCCGAGGTCAATTAGAAATTGAAAATGCAATTTTGCCGTCGCCTTGATCGCGGCTAGGAAATTATTCGCCCGTTGGAACAATCTACGTCGACGCACGGCTGTATAACAAAGCATCGAGTTACGAACACGTTAAAATCACGTGAAGCGGGAAAAATGCTTCTCCGTATTACCGATAAACGCAATACTCGGCTACGCCAATTCGTTCGTCGATGGGATGTTTAACCGCGAAATTGCGTCGAACTATTTTTAAAAGAGAAAGCATACTTACAAGGACGAAATTCTAGTTAAAAGTAACGTCGCGACCGACGAACATTTACGAGCGTTTTCGCATGGCGTACTAGTTACTTTAACGTCGATACGGTGCTCGAACTTACAGAACTGCTCGCAAAAGTCTCGCGATGCCCCATGGGGAGACCTTTAGCGTGAAATCGATTGCAGAAAATGCAAGAACGGTTTAGAAACGAGGCCTCGGAACCGGAATTCTGAGTGAATGAACGACAACGGTGACGAGAGTACCGCGATCGACGACCGCTCAGGGTTCACTGAGGAGGACCGACTTTACCGGCTGCAGTCTCTGAAAGGCACTTAGGGCTTTCTAACTCGCGCCTCGCCCCACCATGTTGCATGGGTACTATCTTAACATACGTACCTACGTACGTACGCGATAAAAAAAACGTGTCGAGGAAGCAATGGTGGAGGCGTTCATCTGTAACCATCAACACACTTTGTGTTGCCTAAAAAATCTGTTAGACTCGAAGGAACAAGATCAGTCGTGACTCACCAAAAACTGGTAAGACGACGTTTTTGCCATATATTATGCAACCGCACAATGTACTCTATCCTTCATGGGCGAATGTACATCAGATTATTACCGAAGGACATGTAATGACAGTTATTTACAATAAAAGCATGCAATTCTGAAGGCATTCTATAAACCTCAATTGCTTGCCGCGACGTATTCAGCATACTTATATCATGTTTTTTTGTCCTATTTGAAAAAAAAATAAAATGAATACTCAAGTTTGAAACTGTTTGTACTTTTGCCCTTGCGCCAATATGAAGTAACATAGATTACAATTTCTAAAAAATTAATAATATATGGAATTTCAAAGACACGACTACGTTCTTTTAGTAAATGAAAAGTAACACTTTTGAGCTGTAGCGTGTATGGGTATTTCACATTATTTTTACAGAGGAAACTGATGTAAATGTGTGTAGAAAATGTTCAAGTAGGTTTTTAAACTTCACGTATCGACAGACGTCATTATATCATGGCGCCCAAAGGCACGTGTACTTTTTGTTCCTCTCTTGTCACAGTTCTACAAATAGTCGTATATTTGATTGGTGAATGGAATAGATCGCGCGTGTAACTGCGCGTTAACATAAAATTTAAAGTACCTGCTGCCTCGAATGTAAATTTCTGTCAGTTCATAATTCTTCCGGGGAAGAAAATGATTTATGAGTTTAATTTATACTTCGTGGCATCCTTTTGTTCGGCTGTTTTGAAAGTGAAGGTTGTTTTTACGGTTGTCGGAAGTCTGCGGCTCGAGCGTCTAAATTCTAATCGGTGAAAGCGAGAATGAAAGGCAAATGAACGATTAACTGGTTCATTTACAAGGAAACCTTACAGCAACGCGCTAGTGGTGCTTGCGAGCTTAGACTGCATCGAGTTTGACCCATTTTCATTGTTCTTTCAGGAACACGTACAAAAGAACGTTCTTATTCTTTTTCACTCGTTCTGGCACCATTGACGAAGGCAATAACCATGTTTTCACTATGCTTGCTCTTCTCGCTTTCTGATCACGATTTTCCATTTCCCGTTTTCTCACAGACGACAAAAAAAACTGAAAGTGACATTACGGGAACCAAGAACTGTTGAACGTATTAGAGAGTTTTTGAATTTGTTTAGATTTTATATTGTGAAAAATGATATACTACGACGACTTGACAGCTTTTATATAATCTTTACACACACGGTAATCAACATCAATGCCCACAAGTATGATTCACTTCGTCTTACCATTACATTTTCGATTAAATCATATTTTGCTTTATTTGTATGCTCAAACACGCAATTTTTCATCGACTTGTATCCACGTTGGACTTAAAAAAGTACTCTTCAAAAATGGATATTAGTACACAGTAAAAATGGCAGGTTCTCTATTTTTTATTTTTTAGTGCTGACAATGTCGAAAGTAGAATTGTATTCATGTAATGACTGTCAATTTTAATGGTAAACTGTATTTTAGTGTGGCAAGTTGATTTCGACAACGATGCTTTAAAAAGTCTTATGGCCAACAGAACTGTATTTTTCCATTTTTCCATCTAAGAGAAATTGGAAAATATCCAAGCATGGCAAGTGATTAATTACTAATATTTAACATGAATACTAATAATCTGATGTTTTACGTCATACCCGGAATAAGATGGCAGGAAACTATAGATGATAAGAGTAAATGCATCATCAAAGTAGTAAAATGTGTTTGGTTTGATTCGTTTCGAAATTCCCCAAGAATACGAACGAACTTACTAGTTTGATACAATTAAGACTAAGTTCGCGAAATTTATTTTCCACGTTTGAGCGCGCATAAAAGTATATATCTCGAAAAAACTTGATTTCTATTCCTGTTTTCTTTTTTTTTTTATTCTTCTTGACGTTATCCCTGATTATTCCAGCAGAAAGGTTACATCTTGATAAGAACTTGTGGCCGACTTCCGGCCACAGTGTTCGTGTCTCAGTGTTGTTGAACCCTACACACCGCGTTCAACGGTTTCGTTTGGCTCCTCGTAGTTCACTCGTGGAAAGAAAATATTTTCTCGCGAATCCAACCGCGCGCGGCTCGATGCCTCTTCGATTGCGTAATAAACAGTGATACGTACCGCGAGAAGTATATATAACAAGCAGGTCGTAAGGCATAACTGTAAACCAGTTGCACGTAATGCAATTATGGTATGAAAGTGATCAAAATGTATTGCAGCCGCCGGCGCCGCGTTGCAAAACCGATGGGACGAGGAGCAAACCGAAATATCCCGCTGAGAAACAGGCGCCTCGCCAGGGCCGTACCAATTACTTACACCTTTTTTTTTCTCGTAATAGATAACACCGGCACTCGAGACACACAATGCCGCATAAATAAGTCTGAAACGAAACGTCCTCCAACGAGCTCTCCAACTAAACGAACGCGAACGTTCTGAGAGAGAAGACAACGTTATAATGGCCTAATCTAAATTATACGTTGGCTAGAAAAGAAATTTTACAAGAGAAATCGTTGCGTTCCAGAGGTGACGGAGCATGTGTTGCGTAAATCCTAATAGCGCTAAATATTTCTCTATCTGTCTACGTATATGTCAAATTCAAATTATGACAATCAAAATCGTTAACCCAGTAATCAATTAAAGTTTATATAAATAAACCTAATACAACATTTATTGGTTTGATTATAACCGTCAATTATTAATTAAATCATATTTTGTTGTGCCCTGTTAACCTATATTATTCGAAAATATCACAATGGTGCAATTGTTGACTGTCTTCAGATTGCTTGCAAAGCATATTTGCGTTATCCGTTCACTCGTCGATTACTTGTTTTATTCTCTATTGGCTTCAAAACAGACAACGAAGGGGATCGAGTATGGGATGACGAGGCGATAAATGCAGAGATAAAGTAACTAAGAAATATATTCTATAATGGCCCTGAATGGTTAAGAATATTTTACACAAATTGAGAAGCCCTTTTTTTCAACAACACGTCACCCTGTCCGTTGCTATCTTTCTAAATGGTTTTAAATCTTTTCGAAAAGCTGTCATTCAACACCCCATAGAAAGGGGCAAATTATAAATCATAATGTTCGCCATTACTTGACCCATGCCCTTTAGGGCTCCTATGCGATCTTTGACCCAATCGTAAACCTTTCAAAAACGAAATGGCATCGAACTACCTGCCTTCAAACTATCCTTAAAAATACGTTGAGGCTAACTGGGCAATATTTAGGTAATTATCCCCTTCTACATCCACCTGAAAGACGAACTTTCAAAAGATACACTTTCCACGGAATGAAAGCACATGCAAAAAGCAGACTTATGTGCATTTCATGAAATTGGATACTTTCTCACAGAAGAGTACAAAACCTGTGATTTAACGATGCTATTATGGTTAACAATGATGTCTACGTCCTCCTAAAAGTGTATTTACGCGTACCGGGAATGGAAATCCTTCCTCTATGATTGGCAATAAATATCCTTCTACCTCGCAAATATCGCGTTTCCTCAGTTAAATTGCAATGATAAACCCGGAAAATTATACAACTGTAACAAATGACATTGGTCGAAATTGCGTGAAAGTGTGCCACAAGAAATCGTCTCAAGCTGCAGAACGGAAAGTACTCACACGTGCGATGGTGGTGTAATGGTCAGCATAGTTGCCTTCCAAGCAGTTGATCCGGGTTCGATTCCCGGCCATCGCACACTTTTTTATTTTTGCAATTTTTGTCAATTTAATACTTTGAATTATTTTAATATTCATTATTCATACATATATTATATTCTATTAATCGAATATTATTTATAGAATTAAAAAAACATGTTCCATTAAATCCTGCAAAAATTATACGCTGTCCTTTACTATTTTTACTTATAATTCGTTGTTTTACAAAAACAAAAACTGTCAATATTTTTAAATTAAAAGTTTAAATTAAAATTTTCTCGTATGTCTCGAATTTAGTATATATGAATTTATTTAGCAAATAATAAAATAAAACTTTTAATAAAGGAAATATAATTATCTTGTGATTACAACGTTTTATTTATGAAATGTAATTAATATGAATTCAATTGTGTGAAACTAGTTTCTATCAAAGTAACGTAATGTGAGCAAGAAGCACTGCTGGTGTAGTGGTATCATGCGAGATTCCCATTCTTGCGACCCGGGTTCGATTCCCGGGCAGTGCAGACGTTACTTTTTTTTTTTATCGTAACAATTTTTTCTATATACATACGAATATCACGCAATTGTCGTTTATAAAAAATATGATAAAAATTGCTTTCTGTCAATTATAAAAGGAGCAAAGAATCAAGAAATTGCGAACACTGCGCGTGATAACTTAATCACGTATGCATGTACGATGTGTTTTTATACCAATATATAATGTCAGTTTGTAATAACACGCATGATTCATAATACAAAAAGACACGTTTTATTAATTTTATTCACAGCTCACTGAGACTTTGATCGTTATTTTAATAGCAACGTCTCGATTTGTAACGTGTTTAATAAACTTATACCGAATGTAGCGTAATTGTTTACTATACCTGTTGATTTTAATGATACATGAATTCCTATTGAACAAGGCTGCCCTACCGAGAATACTTCCACCACGTTGCATCACTATACATCGAGCATCACTACACTGAAGTGACCTGACAACGAACACTTCAATCCGTGCGCAAACAGTGCATTGTCGGGGAACAACGGAAAATAAAAATGTCCAATGATAAGCGAGAACCTCGACGATAACCCAAC